CGAGAAAGAGAGAAATTAGATACAATTTAAAAATTGTATAAAACGAGAAAGAGAGAAAGACAAAAGAAATGGGTAGGGGAGTATTTTTATTGTATAATTATAACTGTATAGGACGAAAATATATGTACTTGCATGTGTATATACAATTTTCTCACGCTTTATACAAACAGAAACACAATTTATACATTTCGTTTCTGTTTGTATAAGTGAGAAAGGCGAGGGCAGCGAGCGAGATTTGGGAGAGTGGCGAGCGAGATTTGGAAGAGGGGAGAGAGGGGAACAAAAATATATGTATTTATACGATTTTCTCTGCTTTATACAATTAGAAATAATTTTTATACACTTGTGTTTGTATAAAAAGTGAGGAAGCGAGCGAGAGATTGGAGGAGAGTGGCGAGCGAGATATTTGGGAGAGAGACGTCTGATAATTTTTTGCAAACATTTGCTATGGAGCACAATTAAATCAAACCCTAGCTACTCCATTTATCTTAGGTTATTAGTTTGCTATTATATATAATTTTCCCTATTTTATATGTTAAATTTGAATAGAAAAATTAAAAATACCCATTCAAATTTTGCGGGACTATGGAATTTAGCGGATTTAGAATGTAGATATATTTTTAACAAAGACACTGTTAATTTCATATTAATTGAATTGTCTAGGTGTTTTATATTTAAAAAAAGAAGAAGATTAAGACATAAATTAGGCACAATTTTTTATTTTTATCCTTATTAGTTATTGTAAAATTTATGATTAAAATAACTAAATATTAATCAATTAGTAACTAATTCTAATACTATGTGAAATGTAAAATTGGAAGAACATTTTAAAAGTAGTATCGAAGACTGAACAACTAAGTTAATTTGAAAAATGAAAAACGTTATAAGAACTTCAAATTAATATAAAATAGAGAGAGTATGTGTGTTTAAGTATAACATTTAGGAAGTACAGAGACCGAATTTGTAAAATTGTGTAAGTAGAAGTACCAATTTGTATATTAAACAAATTACGCGTCTTCTCCCCAACATTTTCCAAATTTGTATGTAACACCAGCTACGGCTTCTTCACTGTTCTTCATTCTTGATTTCTCCAAGAAATCGAAATTTGTTCCTTGGAGATGGTTTTACACAAAAAGCTTTCTACTTGCTGTATATCTCATGAGTTCTATAAAGTTGCTACGAACAACCCCAACAAGATTGCAGTCATTCAAGCTTGTGGGGGTCTCAAAATCGCCAAAGAATTTCGACTTTCTTGCAGTGAAAATGGCGACCAAGACAACCGGGAGAAGTTTCAAGAGTTTGTTTCTTCTAAAATGAAGTCGGTTAATCCCCCGATATACGAAGGTGATCAGTGCTTCACGTTTTCCGAGATATTGTCCGCCGTTGATTCTCTTAGTTCACGGCTCCGATGCATTCTTGATGGTGGTGATGACCCCAATCTAATAAATTCCTCTGCAGGTAACTGAAATTTGTGATTTTAAGTGGGGTATTATGAATTAACATTACGATGAAGAAAAGACGGTGTTAATCAGTGTGAGTAAGTTACTGATGTTTGTGATATTAACTACGATTTTACTGAATTAAGATTAAGTTTTCTTTACTTATTTATTTATGGAGTAAACCAAGATTCTTCTTTCTGTAGTAATTTGTGAACATATGTATCTTGTCTAGTTGGGAGAATGATTCTTGTATGGGTAGTATCTTGAATTTTTATATGTTGTGCGTGTTGTAGCAGTGATTTCTTGAATATTTTGTATCTTGTGCCTGTTGTAGCAGTGGTTTCTTTGATATCTTGTGCGTGTTGTAGACTTGTAGCAGTGGTTTCTTGAATTTTTTTTATATCTTCATGTTGCAGCGATAGTTTTTTGAATTTATTTTGGATTTCTAATTTTGCTTTAGATAACTTTTACCTTCTTAATTTTTTTTTTGCTTTTAGAATAAGGTCTGTGCTATCTGAAATTGAGCAACTTTGCAGAAAGGTTAATGATGGTCCTATCTAACCCGCCATTTGGAAAAAAGTCTCCTTTTGCCTTTGGTCCTTGATGGAGCTCCCACCCGAGTCTAATGATAGACAGTCCTCAAAAGTTGGAACACTGTTCTCTAAGATTTAGGACCAAAAGAAAAAATGGAGGGAAAATTGAGCAATATCAAGGATGGCACAAGGGCAAATCAGATTGTTTCCCTTAATCTGTGTTTACAATCATTCCTAAATGAATGTGAAAATGCTATATCCATTTCCTTGAAATTTTTTGGTTTTCTATGGTTAGCTATAGAATCCTTCCGGATGTTGTTGATTGCTTTGTGAGTAAACTAATTTCTTTTTTTAAAAAATTAAATGGTGAAAATCAAGAAAGATGCTTTGTGAGTAAACTAATTAGGCATTGCATCTTTTCATGGCTAGTAGTTAATATTCATCAAACTGCAAACGACTGCAGTTCCAAGGACCAGTTACTTCTGGGGTCTTCTGATCGAGGTTTGGAGCAGTATACACAGTTCCATAAAACATATATCCCAAGAGTAGTTGGAATATATATGGAACCTTCAGTTGAGTACATTGTTTCTGTTTTATCGGTTTTGAGGTGCGGAGAAGCATTTATGCCGTTAGATCCATCATGGCCAAACGAAAGGATATTATCGGTAATATCTTCTTCAAAAGCTGATCTTATTGTGGGCTATAAATCTTCAGTTGACAGACCTTGTCACCAGCTTGATAAATTACGATGGCTCATTCATAAAGGCAGTTATCCCCTTTTTTATATGTCAATAGAGAATGTCATGCGAAAAAAATCTGACTCATCGTTAGCCTGGCCTTGTGAAAGTGAAAGGTTGAGATCATTCTGCTACTTGATGTACACATCTGGATCCACTGGAATACCCAAGGGGGTATGTGGTACTGAAGTAGGTGAGTTGCACATCCTTGAGAATGTTTAACCAGTTCTCATCCGTTTATATTGTCGCCGTACAAACTATGCTTTTATAGTTCAGTTTTACTTAGGCATTAGTTCAATTTGTTTCATCATACACTTGCAGGTCTTCTGAACCGCTTCTTGTGGATGCAAGGATCATTTCCCTTTCAAAAAGAAGAAATCCTTCTTTTCAAAACATCCATAAGCTTCATTGACCATTTGCAAGAATTTTTAGGAGCTATACTTGCTAATTGTACGTTGATCATACCTCCTTTCAATCAGCTGAAGGACAATATATTTTTAGTAGTCAATCTCTCACAGGTATATGTGAACAGTTTATTTGCTCTTTCAATTTCTTGTTACTTGGCAGTGCATTTTAAAGGGTGTGAATTTTTTTTTTCATTTGGTTGCCAACAACAGTAGGGGATTTCCTATCCATTAACCAGTTGCTTATTCTAACGATTACAAACATAAAGCAAGTATTTCGCTCAGGTGCTGCCGGATGGAAGGGTCTCGACTCTTGAGGGTATTGGGTGCTTCTTGATCTAGTAGAATCTATATCTGAGCAAATGAATTACGGCCTTCAACATCCATGTCACTGCTTTCAGTGATCAATTAACTTCCTCTACAATTTTTTTGGACTTCTATATCTAGTATTTGCATGAGTTCCTCCATTTATTTTTACCATAGCTTCTGTATTGGTTGGTGTAAATTCTGCAATAAGCTGAAATACTACTGGACAAAAACCATCACGCTCTCTGTCTCATACACACATACATACACACACACTCACACACACACTTAAGATGGGGGAGGGGTGCTTGTGCAACTCCTATTTTTTTTCCGATTTTGGTATTATATAATCTAAATTACTGTTATTGGTAATAATTGCATGAAGTCCAAGTGGGTAATGTTCACTTTGTGAATCCATGATTAGAAAATTTTCAAATATTGCAAGAAAAAAGATTCGTGACTATTCTTTGCTGTTTTCTGGACGCCGATGGTGTGTTTTACTGAAAAAAATTAAGCTTCCTTTATAGGATGGATATCTGGTTGTTCTATACAGGCTCTGGTCTTGGTTGAGAATCTTTACTCTTCTCTTTTGCATTTACTCTGCCTGTCTTGGATCTTGAATCTCTTCTCTGTCTGGTCACTGATTTATCTTTTGCAAACTGAAAATTAAGCCACCTTTCTTTCTCCTTTATGCAGAGGACAATTTTGCCATATATTATACTCATTACGGAAAAGGGTCAGCCTAGTCTTTATAATTATTTAAAATTGAGCAACTTTGCCCTCAGTTATACTTTGGGTTTAATTTTACCCCTCCCCCGGTGAAAAGTTTCGTTTTTTCCTGGACCCCTAATGTCGCTCCAACTTTTATCTAATTGAAAACATAGTCGGAAGGGGTAAATTTGGACCTTTTTCAAAGTATCGTGACACCTCGTGTCCACCCATTTCATACTAGAGCTCTCTTAATGTCAAGGGGTAATGCGAGACGATTTTCTAACAAGGGTGTGAATGGACCCAAGGTATGACGGAGGGTGAAAATTTCAGATAGAGTAGGGGGGAAATTTGGACCTTTCTTGTTTTCTTTGTTCTTTTCCATTCTATGAGAGCATCACATCTTTAAAAATTCCATTATTTTTTTCATCATTTATCTTCAGGAATATTCTATTAGCAGGCTTGTGGCAGTTCCATCTTTTATAAGGGCGATTCTTCCTGCTTTGCATAGCATGCATTATCCTACAGCTCAGATCTCCTTAAAACTTCTAGTGCTAAGTGGTGAAATTTTTGATATTTCTCTGTGGAAGATGCTGGTCAAGTTGCTACCGGAGACTACTGTTCTTAATATATATGGAAGCACAGAGGTAGATTTCTGTCTGTGTTATTTTTGGGTTAGTTATATCCTTACAACTTATAATATTGAATAAATTGGATGGAAAAAGACTCCATGTCCATCGTTGTGAGTTACTTTTTGGTCACTTCTGTTCTGGTAGTTATAATAATTCACTTGGAAAGAGAAAATTTGAGTAATGCTTGCTCATATCAAACAAGATCCTGATTTTCTTCACCCTTTATTTGTACCAACTTTTGTACTCGATGAAGTCACTTTAGTCTGGAGTTGAAATATGGCAAACTTATGTTCGTTGTTAAATTTTTAGCTTAAATCCAAATTTTTGTGCTTGTGACCATAATCTGTGAATACTTGCCTTTAAGCTGGATGATCTGAGTTTAGTGCTGGCTCTCTACCTTTTTGGTTTACATCTTGTATATTGGAGATTTTTCATGTTGATTGAATTTTTTTACCTTATCATAAAGAATATCTGTGATTTGAGCTAGTACTCTCCTTTTGCTCATGCGGTCAACTAAGTTGAATTGAAATGATATAGCCACTTTGGTTTAGTCCCCCTTTGTTGAATTTCCCCTCTACCACTACCTACAATCTCAATCTTACCATTAGCTATTGCAACCACTTCCCCGAACCTCCTCTGGATCATGGGGGTGGAATCATTAGCAGAGGGGGGTGGATGCATGCTATAAAGGAGGTTACAGAAGATGTTTTGAGAATACATAGGAAGAGCCTGGAGACCTTGAAATTTCCAGCTTTATTTAGTTTTACTCCAACCATAGATATGTGCAGTTGGCTTGTTTACAACTGATTGCAGTTTATACATAACAATTGCAGTAATTGTAGTGCCTGAAAACAGTGACACCCCCCACCCCCGCAAAAAAAAAAGAAGAAGAAAGAAGAAAAGATAAACAGAGAAAGGTGGGAATTAGTGAAAGAATTCTTATTTGCTAAGTTAGTTATGCTGGAGTTTGGTTTTCTTCATTTTTAGTTGCAGCTGGCTGGTGCTGCTGCTATGAACAACTTACTGATCAGCATATTGATAACTACACATAACTAGCTGCCATGAAATCGATCCTTTCAAACTTAGATACATGCTTTTAATGTGATTATACATACATGTCTGTATAGTGTACACTGGTTATGTTTATAGAGCAACTTTATTTGTGAGTTTGAGATATGATTTTTGCCAAGCCTATCCACTCATTTAATTTATAGGTAATGTTTGGAATACCTTTGAGGATCCACTGTATGCAAGTATTTTGGGAAAAGAATAGGCTGCACAACTTGCAATTTTTTTAGGGAAACTAGTTTGGCATGGTCAAAAGTAGAGTTGGATGCAACAACTCTCCAGCTGGTTATGTTAGCACAATAAAATCCAAAAGTAACAGGGAACATTAATTGGATGAGAAACTTCTGTATACTGTAGGACATTTTATGATGGGAGTGAATTGAAGAAGCACTTCATTCTCTAGAACTTAGCATTGTTTGTCTCTCTGTAAATTCCAACAACTAACTATGTCTGAACTCTGAAGTAGACAATTATTTAGAATCAATAAAATTAAAGTTAGTGGAAAGATATTGAGTTTCTATTTTTGAGAGATACAACTGCTTGATCAGTTCTTTTTAGACTAAGACGACCATCAGAGAAAGGAAGATCAAAGCTAACACCCACTGTGGCAAGTATAAAAATAGGGAATCATAAGAAATTCATTGTGGTTTGCTTGGTAGAGGGCGAAAGATAACAAAAAGGCTCAACATGAATGGAACTAGAGTGTAGAGGGGAAGAGGTAGGCTCAATTGGCTAATGAGTGGACTTGCAAGGGTTATAAATGACTTGATCATTCAACCCCAAACCTTCACGGGATGCCTCTTTGAAAACCCTTACACAACCCATGAGGGACAAGTATAGCATTTTCTAACAGTTTTTGCTCAAGCTTGATTGTGAGTTTATATTGATTTCAAGTGTATAAAATGTTTGTATTGTTGATGCTACGCACAATTACGGTAATTAAATCTGATGAAATTTACTAATTTATGTAATCTTTGAATAATCCCAACAATTGCCAAAGCTCGTACTACTAAATTTGATTAGAGACTTTTATATCTGAGTATGGATTATTATGCGACTTGGAGAACTTCTGCGTTTTGGAATTCTTAAATTGCCTTAAAATGACAGATTATTAAGTAGTATTTCTCTAAAAAAGGAGGACATATTATTTAGGTAGTATTGGGATGAAATGGACTTTAGTAGAGCAAAATGATACAATGATTAGTCTAGCTGATTTCAACTATTTAAGATTGACCCATGTTTGATTGTTAATTTTACACTTTCTTCATTCAATAACCAAGTATCATCTGCATCCGTTTTCTAATTTATGGTGGGCTTGGAGAGCATTATATTTTGTGATTTCATTTCTATTCTTGTTATGGTGTGCATTTCATTTTTTAACTGTTGCATTCTTTCTCATTTGTGGGTCTGGACCTGAGTGCATATTTTTGTTCACAAGAGATAATTTAGAAACCAATCAACAGCTGCATACAATTCTTGGACAGAAGGCTCCTCGATTTAGTTCTAGCACTTGAAAACGGAAGGAATCATCTTCTTGAACATCTACACACTATGTGCTCCCAAACTTTAAAGAAATTACAGTATTAGTTGACAAGGAAGTTTATGCATGAGCTTCCTCATTCATAAACTTCTTTTACTCTTCTAAATACCCAATATGTCTCTTGCATTTTGAAAGCACAAAGCAACTGTGACTCAAATGTATTTTCTCCCTATCATTAAAGATAATGATTTAGTTGTTCATCCAGATATTATCACTTAATATTTGTCATATTTTGTAGGTCTCTCCTTTTTTTTTGTATGTCTCTTGTATATAGACTAAATGATCTTGTTATTATCAATGAAATCTCTTATGTGATCGAAAAAAGAAAAATATTAGTCCTTCCTTTCCTGGTATGTGCTTGTATAATCAGGAAGAGTTGATGCACAAAGCACATACATTTTCCTTTATGTTCTCTTACTGGACACCTAATTCTCAACGAGTCGGTGGTTATGATGCAACCACTTGAAGGAGGATATGGCTGCTACAAGTAACCCAAAGCTTCATTTCTTATTTGGGTGGGGCAAACTCTTGTATTCTGGTTCATGGAAAGGTTGTTAGAATCCCCCTCTTCTAGAATCATTGGTATCTAAGTTCAATCCTGGTATCTGCTTGTATAAATAGACACATAATCAGAAAGAGTTGATGCACAAAGCACATACTGGACATCAGTTTCTCAATGAGTGGCTCGTTTCGATGCAACACTTCTTGAAGGAGGAATTTAAATTCAATCTTGGTTCATGACTTCCGCACAGTGATGGTTATTTGGGAATAGCTTGTAACGACATAGCAAGCTTGATTTTCCTTATTGATAAAAGGAGACATACAGAGGTTTAATTTTATCAATTTAAAAAGCAGCAGTAACAACCTTGATACAAATTTAAGATTGCTCTTAAGAAAAAGAAGTAGCTTACGTCACCTATCACTTGAATTCACTATCTTCTCTGTAGTCTTATTAATATTTTTGATGAACGAAATAGGTTTCCGGTGACTGCACATATTTCGACTGCAAGTGGTTGCCCACAATGTTGGAGCAAGATGCTCTGGACAGTGTTCCAATTGGCATTCCTATTGACAACTGTGAAGTGGTTCTTATTGGGGAAAATTCTCTTGATGAGGGAGAGATATGTGTCAGTGGAAGTTGTGTTGCTTCTGGATACTTCATTCATCCTTCTATTTTGTCACTGGATAACGTGGAATTACATCAAGAAATAACTGATGGCAAGAAGGATGAAAATGAAGTTTACTTTAGAACCGGGGATTTCAGCAGAAAGCTTTCAGATGGAAACCTGGTTTATATTGGGAGAAGAGACCGCACAGTAAAGATCTGCGGGCACCGTATTGCCTTAGAGGAGGTCGAAAGCATTCTGAGGGAACATCAAGAAGTAGCTGATTCTGCTGTGGTTTCTCGTTGCGTTCAAGGAGATATTTTATTTCTTGAGGCATATTTACTGCTCAAGCAAAAGGAAAACAATCTTGAGGTCTTCAAGTCCACAATTAGATGCTGGATGGCCAGCAAACTTCCCCCAACTATGATTCCTGCTCGTTTCTACTTTGTTGAATCTTTTCCTAGGTCTTCTTCAGGGAAAGTAGATTACAAGATGTTGGCCACTTTTGCAGCGTCTGAGGCAGGTAACCGTATTGCGATTGAAGAAACTCAAGATATCGATCTCGTTAATGTTATACAAAAGGTATTTTACTGGACTTCATTTTGATTAAGGGCTGTGATTCTGTTATGAAATGGTATTAGCACCAATCTTTACTTCGATTTTCATTCAGTGCAAAGTTTTCCCATGAATGTGATTTTTTTGGTTAAATATAATAAGATATAGGCTGCCCTAATTTGGATCATGCATTCTGTGAAACCACACTTTAGAGTTCATATCTGCATATATAAGTGGGTGAAAGTTGTTAGGTTGTCTTTGGTATTTGGTATATATATGCTTCCCTTTTCATGAGAGTTTATTCCCTTTTTGAGCAATTTTTAGCCGGTTTTAGAAGAAAAAATTATGCCACATAAACTGAGATCCTAGGGAGTATTATGTAGTTTGACTTGCCGTGGAAGAACTGACCAGTGAAACAACTATTCAGTTACTCAAGATATTTTTCTACAAAATGGGGTTAGCTTGGTAAAGTGTATATCTGAAGACTAATTGAAAAGAGATTACACATCAGTGTCTTCTGTCACTTTTGGGCAGTAATGACATTTCAGTCTGTATGGCTAATGCTCTGTATAGAGAACTACCTTTTGTATAAGCTTCTCTGCCTTTTGTATACAACCTGTCTTGTAGGGGTTTCTTAGCATGTTAACTGGATGAAATTTTTTGTTATTGATTTATACTCTTACAACAAGGCAGCTGGCTTGCAACATGGGTAGCTGGGATATAATTTGTTATCTGGCTAAGACTAGCTTTCATTCTCTCGATAACATCATGTTGCGATGCGTATCACGTTTTTTAAAATTCCTTTATTTTATATTTTGAAACAACTTCATTCGTTGGTATCTGTAAAGCATAAATATGGCAAGTGTCCTTAAATTGTAATATGTAAAGGATTCTGAATGCCCAATTTTGTAACTGGAAGAATACCAAAATAGAAATAAAAATAAAGAAGTACCTGAGGGAATGTCATGTTGGATATTCACAGGAAACCTGTTCTTTTATCCACTGTCTACATCACACTGAGAATGTGTCAAAATATATACAAGATGTGCAAAGGGACTAACCATACATATCTCTCTAGCTCCCAACTGTCTATGCTTCCTTTACCACCAAAACAATGGATGAAACAAAAAAGGCGTCTTTTACGTTTCTTTCTAAAAAGAAAAAGATGTATTTTACTCCTTCTCCTATGCTTTCTGAATATACTTTTGTTTTCATGGGGGAATTGAACTGTAAATCCTCTTTTGCTAATTTGAAGTCATTAGTCACTTGTTCTCTAGTCAGTATTATGTGTCCTTATGGTGATGTGTTTCTTTTACGTCTTCTTTAACTTTGATTGGACAGACTTTTGCTGATGCTCTTATGGTTGTTGACAAGATCTCCCTTGATGATGACTTCTTTGAGATCGGTGGCAATTCTCTATTAGCAGCTCATGTCTCCTATAATCTAGGAATCAATATGAAGGACTTGTATGCTTTTCCAACTCCATTGAAACTTCAGAAGGCCATTCAACTTAAAAAAGTGTCCTCTAGCCGTGAACTTAGAGCTGATGCTTTAGTGGGAGTGAACTCGCAAGAGCAAGAGAAAAGCAAGCTTCCTTCTAATAAATCTTGGATGCCTGGTGCAGATAACAGTACCGCTTTGAGTTTGACCAGTGATTATCCCGTTAAACGTTTGAAAACAGATTCAGATTTGTATATTGATTCCAACGATGCTAATGGAAGAGATATGAATAATTCAACTTCTTCACAGGTTTCATGTTCTTACAGTCGGTGCAACAAAATAAGGCATGATGCTGGTTGTGAGGGTTACAATTGCCACTCGATGCTGTCTTGGGAAGTTCCACGTGATAAAAGAGGTTTCATGCGAGAACAGTGGATGGTCAACATGGAATCTTGCGTTGATGCATCACCACTAGTTGTATTTAAAGAAAGAAGTGTGTATCTGCTTATCGGAGCTCACTCCCACAAATTCTATTGCATTGATGCAACAAGGTAATGCTTCATGTTTCTCTTAGATGAATGTGATTGAGAAAATAAGAAAAGATAAGATATAAGTGTGTGAAGGACAAATTTCTTACACTTGAGTCCTAGATCCACTTGGTTTACCAGAGGATGGGATTTGCTGTCCAATTAGTCTACATACACTATTAGACAATTTTTAATCTATGCTATGACCCAAAAATTTCCCTCTTTGGATTGGAATATCAGAATATGGACTCATAGACTAAACTTGTAGATTTCATTGTGGAAAGCTCTTTGCTGTACTAGTGAGATCACCACAATTGTTCAGTAGTATGGCACTGGTGCATACAAGTTGTATGTAATTAATTTATTATATACATTCTCTATGCCAATAACTGTGATACTCCTTTTTTGCAACCAAATGTTTGACACCATCTCATATTTATGCAACTTTTACAGCTTAAAAATCAAATTCTTCTAACTGTACTATTTCCCTGCAAATGTGTTCAGTGGTCTTGTTTTGTGGGAGATCAAATTACAAGGGCGTGTTGAGAGTTCTGCAGCAATTCTAGATGATTTTTCTCAGGTTATAGATAACTTTTTTCTGTCAAAGTTTTCTAGTTTGTAAGGTTCACATCAGCTGAAAGGGATTTCACCTGCAGGTTATTGTCGGATGCTATGATGGGAACATTTATTTTCTGAATTTTTCAAATGGTATCCCTTGTTGGAATTTTCAAACACACGGAGAGGTATGATTAGATTTACTGTGTCAGTAAGTTATAGTATCTTGATTACCTTTTCTATTGAGCTTCTTGATAGCAATAGAAAAATACCATAAAATTAGAGTATTAACAAATAATTTTTAATTAAGCTTAAATCTAAGGCTAATGAAGGACCGACAGGAATCCAGATTGCATAAAGTATTTATTTCCCTTGAAATATTTCATGTCCAGGAAGTGTGAAGGGATCAAGGAGGTCATATGCCCTGCCAAATTCATTTTTTTTTTCTGTGAAACCTGCCAAATTCATTATCTGAGCAAAAATTGTAACCTTCCCAGTTTGTCGTTTTGTAAAGTTTGTGGGTTTTGATTTTAAAAATACTGGCCATATCAAACTAGTCTAGACAGATGTTTTCGAAGACTGATTAGTTTTATTAGAAAATATATATCATAGTACCAATCTGTAAAGTTGTGGTCCTTGATGTTCTGTAGGGTTTGGAATATGTAAGTTATCTGTGTAAGGGTGTAGTTGATGCTTTGATTCATAGACAATAAACATAGTATGAAATGCTCAGTCCATCTAGCTAGTAAAAATAATTTTAAAATGGGCAAAAATTGTATTTAGCAATTTTTATTGCCTAGTATATAAGGGTCATGTTTATTGTTTTCTACTTTTTATGAGTTGTGCACGTAATACACTAGCCTTAACATTTCATGCAAAAATGCATATCATCTTAATGGTTGTTAACTTTAGATGAAAAGAGAATTAACCTATTTGCTAATTTTTTAATCTGTTTTCACTTATACATCCAGTTTTCCTTTTATGAAAAGGAGTCATCAATTAACACCAAACCTCTAATATGCAGACCAATTCCTCTTAATGTAGTATGATACATTAATTTTTGGTCTTTAGTTATCTACCGTGATGATTTTTTTATGTTTCTTCTGTAAATAAAAGACTATCTCAATAATAGAAAATTAATTTTATCGTAATGATGTAAATAAGCTAAGGTTTACTACTATATTAGAGGATTGCTTGCATTATTAGAGGTTTGACGTCAATTTATGAGTGGTGTTCCCAAAATAAAAGATAAATTACTGAAAACAACCTTTGAGTGCTTTTAAAGGTTAACAATTAGGCCCCCAGAGCTTGTTCAACTAGCAAAGATCGAGGAACTTATGACTTAGGTCACTAGTTTGAGTATTATGTCATGCGAACTAAAATTGGTATTTAAGTGAACAACCATCGAAACCTATCGTTGAGTCCCACATTGGTGGGATGTGGATTTCCTGGTATCCATCTATGTCTTGTACAATCCTCATCTCTAGAGCTGGCATTTGGGGTTGAGTTAGACCCTCAAAGCCAAACTCATCCCAATTCATTGTTTATCCGTTGTAGGCCCCCCTTCATATATTGTCCTTTGTCCATGCTGCAGATGACCAGCCGTGGGTGCACGAGGCAATGCTGAGTCCCACTCCCACATTGGTGGATGTGGATTCCCTGTCTCCATATTTTGTCTTGGGCAATACTTGCCTCTAGAGCTAGCTCTCAGGGTAGAGTTAGGCCAAAGGTCCATTTTTAAAACCTATGTGCCAAAGATGCATTTTTTCCTTTAAAATATGTTGGGAATCTTTTGTTATGACAAGAGGTTGCTCTTGATCATCCAGTGGTTATTGTAGATCAATTGAAGATTAATTAAAATAGGTAGTTGATTGTAGTGATGATAGTTTGCTGGAAATTGGCTTTCTTTCCTGCTTGCTAGAGTTTTCCATGTTCTGTTGTTTGACATTTATTTTTGTGGTCAACATCCGAAATTTTAAGGTAAAATCACAGCCAGTCATTGACAAGAAGAGGCACTTGGTCTGGTAATTTCTTTTCTTCATCTACTGTTGTTTCACACAGGAAGTTTACGTAACTGGTTGATTAAACTTAACAATTTTCTTCTATATCTGAAGCTTGTCTATTTCTTCTCTGGTTTTGTCATGTCAGTGCATATTTATCCATTGTTTCACCTTTTGGAAGGGGGCATAGGAGGGAAAACCATTAAATACAGGAAAAGGATGCGCATTCACATTAGGTTATATTGACTTCTTGATGTCCTTAAATTTTCTGGAGATTTCATTTAATTCTATCTATCATGAATTGCCTCATCTGATATGTGTTCTTACAATGTTGTAAAGATCTCATCTTCCAATTTCATCTTGTTGCATTAGCAACTGAGTGCGACTGTCTAGCTTAGGAAAGCTGTGGGAATAGAACCAGCTGGGTTCCGTTGTTTCTGATGTCAGCCCATGTTTGCACTGTTCAATGGTCTAAGCGCCAATTTACTTCCTAGAATTACTGAGAGCCCCTGGTGTTTTAAGATAAGTGTTTAAACTGTCAAAGACTACTAGAATTATGGAGGGCTCATGTTGAGGATAAGTTGTGCCGACTCTTCACTTTGGATGCTACACCCGTGTCGAATTCTCCAAAAATACACTACTTTTGGAGAATCCAGCACGCACCTGTTGACATTTTTGAAGAGTCCGAGCAACATAGTATTGAGGTAATGTTTTTGAATAGTCCAGTACCTGTTGACGTCCTAGAATACTAAGAGTTCCATTAGTCTTGAAAACCTAAAGAGAAAGTGAAGAAATTTGGTGCAATTTATTTTCTAACGCAGTGTAGAAGATGGTCCAGCAAAGCTGCACAGTCTGCTATAGCTTATCTTTGCTGCTGTTTTTTTTCTTTCTTGGTTAATAATTATCGTTTTCCAATTTTTTTTTTCCTTTTCTAAACGCTCAAGTATTGCTATTATCTCATATGTTTTTTTTAAAAATCATCCATCTTCGGGTAATGATATATTTTAGAGGTCCTTTGTTTCACGGACAAACTTTGTGCCGATAACACCAGATATATAATATGGTCAATAACAATCACTGATTATGTAGTGCATATACATTTGTCGTCTAATATTTAGTTCATCATACTACAAACTCACAACATGTCTACATCTTCAAATGGGTAGAAATTTGTTTTCTAATAAGGGACAAAGTCCTACTGGATAGGCCATTTCGCATAGTTCAGGGAAAAATTGATCATTTTTCCTTGTGGAAAATGCCCACGTGATAGTAAATAAAGGCATATTTGGACCAACATTGTAACAGCGTGGTATATTTGGCCCACAACTTGACGGATGGCAAATTTGGACCATTTTCAAAGTTTTGTGGCGCATTTGGACCTTTTCCGCTCTAATAATAAAATACTCTTGGAGTATACACCACTCATTTGTTACTGGAATTACTATTGTTGGATAGAACTGTACCAAGGATGTCATAATAACTAGTACACAAATTTTTTTCCTCGCTTTTCTTAAGAAAAATGTTGTGGCACCAAAATAAATAAATTGCTTTAATGATTATCACATATGTACACATTTCAATCTAGAAATGTTAGAAATCTTTCTTATACAATGCTATAATGATTTCACGGGATACCCTTGCACTAAAAAAGATAGCTTACTTTTAGGGTAATCTTTTTTATGTTTTGGTAATATGTGTATTCTTATTTCATCTTGTTTTACGATAGAAAATAGTCCACTATATTATAATTATGCTGTTACTATTTATGTGTGATATATGGGGGTGACAATTGGGCGGGTTGGGTTCGATTTTGCCCCCTCTAGTTATATGGAAATGGTGACAGAAAGCTTGATTAATAATGCAGACTACTATATAGTGATTATTTTTCTTTAATGGATGTTATGAGTCAAACCTTTAGTGTATTTCGAGGATTTGCATGAAACACTATAGCCACGTAACCCCTATACAGTAGGAGCCCATGCAAGATGGTTGCAAACAAGCTCCTATATGGATGAGACTATGAAGCCTTACATGTTGATACTGACGCTCTTATTCCTTTAGAGAAGTCTTTATTTCTCTATTAAGTGCCTATTTAAAATTCAGATATTATAGAAGAGGATAAATAGATACATGTGTGCTCTAGTGGTTTTTGTTGATGGGTTCCCAACTTTCTTGACATTTTGGTACAATTAGCATGTGCTTGCTGCAGCTATGTTACTCATTCTGTTGTCTCCATATAATTGACTGCAGGTGTGGGTCGCATGACCACAATCTCTATGCCCTTGATTATGAGAATCACTGCTGTGCTTACAAAATTCAATGCGGCGGTAGCATATTCGGTTCACCTGCACTTGATGAGGTGGTTTTGAGTGGCCATCTTTGTGAATAGACTTACCTTTCTTTTGGAAATAATTGGCATTTTTGAAAATGTGAAGTTGTGGGCTTGTGGCTGTACATTTCTTGAAGGGATAATTAGCATTAGCAAAACCTTCCTTGCGATCCGCGAGAATGATTTTCCCTTTTGTCCCTCATCTTATGGCTTCCATTTCAGTAATTGATTTTTATCAGATATCTGATCAGAGATTACAATATATTGCCTGTTATTTTATGCTTTTGTTGGAACAATTATCCTTGCCAATTGTACAACATCTCAGCTCCAGTCAATGATTTGCTGCCTTCATTAAGCAACCATGCTCTTCTTATGTACTTAATTTTTTTCTTAAAAAATCTTTTAGGTGCAAGAAAAACTCTATGTGGCATCCACTAGTGGCAGAGTAACAGCACTATTTGTTGGGGTAAGGAGTTATATTTATATTTCTTTGAAATACACTTTTCTATTTTTCTTTTAGAATATAATAATGATGGACCCAGTGAAAGATAAGTAATTTGGGACCCTCCTCATGTCGCAACTCGTACCTCTTGAAACAATTTGTATATTTTGTAGATTTATAGGCAAATGTTTTTGTTTCCTTATATAAAAAAATAATAGGCAAATGTGTTTTTCAACATTAATTTTATTTCCTGTTGGTGGTTAAAGAGTTTTAAGTATCTTCTACTAGTGATAGTAACCTTCTTCTGTGTGTCCAGAATTCTCATACCATCTTCTTAGTTCCATACACTTGGTCATATGACTTTACATGTTACTGAGTACTAAATAGTTACTTGATTTTGCCATTAAAAAGCTAGAAAGTATATAAATCTAAAAGCAGATAATTTATGCTAGTATTAAGCTGTAGAAAAAAATTGAATATTCTACTGGCTCCATTTTTGGCCTCTGATCTATCTGGTACACTTTGGTCTCATTTTAAGATGTGAGTTAAGACCTTACCAGAAGTAATGCCTCCATTATGTGAGGCATTTTGTTTTGTGGCTCTTGGCAGAATCTGGGATAACGTGATTTACCATTATATAAGTTGAAGCTATCAATATGGAGATATATGTTTCTCTTTGCTTTATAATTAATTTTTTGGTAGAAAAGGGAATATATTAATTTCATTCCAGTCAAACACGTGTAAAGGAAGGGAAGGCCCATCCCATGCTTTCGCGATTCTCCCCGCCAAAGGTATATTGATAAGAATCTGAAGATATTGTAGAAAATTCCTTAATAATATGTAATTAGGATAGAAGCATATGTAGTTATAAAGAATATGTAAAAGGTAGGATCATGATAGCACGTGAATAGGATGAAGCTTTTATATTTAATCAAATTTATTGTTTCTTCATTTTTCAGCACATGAGACCTCGTTTGTTTCTTTATCAGATCAAGCCCCCATTTCCAGTTTCTCCACGTTTGTTTGGTTGACCAACTTTGTTCAGAATCTCAACCAGGGAAGCTATTGTTTCAAAATTTTGAGAACTCGTTTTGGAAAATGTTTTTCAGTAACCAGAAGGGCAGCGTCTGTTCCAAAAATTTGATAACTTGTTTGGAGAAGTTCTTCAATCTTTTGCAAAAATGCTTTTCAACCAAACAACAAGAGAGAAAAGCTATCTAAATGTCTGAGGTTGACCACGAACTTCAAAAGTATTTCTTTCTTTCTTTAAGTTTTGTCCCAAGTCAAATGTTGTCACATTAAATGGGATGGAGGAGGGAGTATTTTATTTTAAAATAGTTTGCTCAGCTAATGTAACCTTCATAACTCTCACCAAATTCACAAAATGGAACTACCACAACTCCTTCCACTCTGGTATCATCTTCCTATCCAGAGACTCCTCTTCAGTTCTGTAAAAAATGACCTCAATCAAATCCATGCCTGCTAACCTAGTTAATGTTTCTTCCAATGATACAGGTCTACAAACTAGCTTTAGCATAATAATCTCCTAGACCAGTTGAGCTCTTTCCTGATGATCCTACTCTTTCCATTTCTTTTCAACAAGTAATCAATGCACTCACAAATGATTGTTATACTTATAATTTCTTGAGTTATTACCATATGTCACCATCATATCATACTTGTGGATTTATTGATTTATCTCAATACAAACTGTAACAAAAGAGGTAACTCAGTTTGTTTGCCATCAGGCTGTGGTTGATGAGATGATTACTCTACATAGTAATGGTACCTAAGAGATAACTTCTTCACCATGTTGTGAAACTAAAGTTGGATGTCATTAGATGTTTACTGTTAAAGTATCACCAGACGGGAAGATTGGTCGTCTTAGAGCTTGTCTGATTGCTAAAACATATATCAGATGTGTATTCGTTGAATATGAGGGTACCTTTATCAGTTCCCCTTTATCTCTATGGCATACTAGGTGAGTACATTATAGAATTTTTCACAGAATATTTTTCTAACCTTATACCCTTCTTGCCGTCTTTGGTAAAGCTTTTCTTTGCCAACTCCTCCATCAAAAAGAGGGTAGGGATGATATGCATTGCTCCATGGTATCAATAGCATAAGCTTACTTTTTGTTTGATGTGTCCAGGCATTACCTTCTTATACTATGTAATAGTGTCTATTTTCTTCTTTGCAAGCCTGTTAAACAATTTCGCTCTGCAGGCTCCGCCATTTGGTCAATTATGGGTACAAGAGTTTGGAGTTCCTATTTTTGGGTCACTTTCAGTCAATCCTCCATCTGGAAATGGTACTTGTTTTGTGTGTCACATCAAATTTATTTCTAGCTTGTTATATTTTTGTCCATGTCTAGATATTTAGCAGAATGAGTTGATTAAAATTCAGTTCTATGGCAGGTCCTCTGTTAGATTGTTCGGTAAAGATTAAATTTACTGCAACTTCCTTTGATTATCCTTAGTTGTTTGTGATGGTTTTTGATTTAAGTTGCAACGTGTGGGCTCTATAGCATATCTACAGTGAGGAGATCTTAGTGTCATGCTTTTTGAAATGTTGTTGATGTTGATAACCTTTGTTAGAGATATACAACATGCGATATCTATAACAACATCCAAAGGAACTTATAAATGCATTAGGCTACTTTACCTGTGCATTAACATATTGGTTGAACCTTCAGATATTTGTTCCATTCTATCAGAGCAATCGTTGATAACCTTATCCTGACACCCTTAAGCTTCGATTGTCGCCATGTGAACCATATTTGGATTACACGTGCGGAGAAGGTTTTGATATACTGAATTCCATATTCACATGTGAGGGCTTCCAGAGGGCAACACTTGGCTGGTCCATTTTCTCACCCATAGTCTAACTTTTAGCCTGCATATCAACCCTTCATTGGATTATCTATGGTAGAGGGTATTAGAGTGTACAAAACATAGGTGTATAAAGGCATCCAAAGCAGTGTATCAAGGTCTAAGGCTACAATGATTGTCTTAAAAGTTTTTAATTAAACATTCTGATTTTTTTTTCTTATGATTTTACATTGATGATGTGATGGATCATTGTCCAAATTGTAGATGATTGGTAGTATGTACTGTTATGGTGTGTGTGTGTTTCAGATTCAATTACATTTTAACTTAGCTTGTTGTGTTGCAGTTATATGTTGCATGGTGGATGGAAATGTTGTTGCGCTGGATACTGAGGGATCTGTTGTCTGGAAGGTAGAACAACATTAATTATATTGAACTCCGTGTTTTCCACCTTGTTAATCTGTTAATTGCATATAAAGGAGAATTTGTTTCAGTGGTAAAACTGAATTTGTTAAAAGCTGCACGAAGGAGGCAAATCCAAATATAGAACAGTTCTTCCACATGACCAAAACACAACTGGATGATTATTCACATTTAGATTCACCAAAGATAACTCTGCAGAATAATTTTCACCGAATATCTTTTGTACCTTTGTAAACCAACTTTTGCTGTAAAAGTTTAAGCTTTCCTTGGCGAAAGAATAAAACAACACTTATGAACTCTTGTAGCTTCTTGGGTCCATCCGTTCATCTATTTTCTATGTAGAAAAGCTTGAGTATGATTTATTATCACATTAGGAGGGTACTCTTTGAGGTCTGTACCTATTCTCAAGCTCCTCCTTGCTTTTCAGATTCAACATTATGTATCCATTACCACTTGCCCTCTTCTCCTCCTTCACTTTTAGGTCTGTACCTATTCTCAAGCTCCTCTTTCAGATAATCTGCATCTCACTTAGCTTCTTTTTTCCAATATCACCCTTAATCATATCAAGTCGTGTCTTTCAATTCAGCCCATGAGTCAATAATAATCGTTGCATACTGTCCTAGGAAGAACCAGAAGATGTCCAACACCTTTTCGTTCATTGCAAAGTCGTCGTCAGCTTCGCGACCAGGTTTTCAACATTTTGAGCATTAAGTTGTGCATGCCTAGAACTTTTTTGGATTCCTGCTTGCTTGACATAGGAAAGAAGTTCCAACACCTTTCATTCCTATCTGGAACACCATTTCTGCCACTTTATGTGGGATCTTTTGGAAAGAAAGGATGTTAGGACTTCATTAAAAAAGAACTTTCCTTTCAAGAATTAAATTGTACTTAAGCTAACATAAATGTATATTCTTGCTTAGTTTTTGGTGCAACATGCCAGTGGAGAATTTGTTAGAGCCAAAAGCTAAGCATCTTGGACTTTATCTGTTCGTTACTTTCTATGTGATACACATTTTTTGATATGTACTCTTTCAAATATCAGCTGGCTTACATCAACAGATCTTACCTTATCAGAAAGAAAAAAACTTGTGATCCCTTCCCCTTCTCATTTTGAAGGTTAATTTTCCTCAAACGACCTTACCTCTTACACGATCTGAAACACAATGCTTTAGAGCTGAGATAAGATCATTTTTTTCATTTCCATGATTGGAATATCAGCATCTGTAAATAGGATGATGTGTATGTAAAACAATTGGCGTAAAGCAATCTTCTGGAATATGAATACATAGTCTGATTGATTGAATAAATACGATCTTTTAATAAAAATTGGGCATATGATCTTTAGTTGATGCACATCTGTCCATTTCCAGTGAGATGTCTTTATTTTTTTTTCAATTTTCATTATTTATTTATTTATTAATGTATTAAAATTTTGTGGAATAGGTGAGTACAACTGGCCCAATATTTGCTGGGCCCTGCATATCTCATGCGCTATCTTTACAGGTGATTATTTCTCCCTAAAATTTCTTTTACAATTATTAATCAGATAGATCCAACCAAACTTCTATGTTAAGATAACCATCCACAAGGAAGCTTATAGCTCTATACACATGCTGGGATCACTCTGCCTACCCTTTTGATCATGTGTAGTAGGTGAGATGTACCATACTTTTGGTGGGGAGAACAAGCATGAAGTTCAGAATGCTGTATTTAAAGGGCTTACACGATATTCCTTTCCTTTAAATACCAGAAGTCACATTTAAATTTCCCTTGATGTCCTTCATACTAGCTGCCCAGTGTTCTGCCTCAAATAAGTAGTAGGATGTCTACCATTAACTGAAGGCCTCAGTTTATGAACCATAATCCAATTGCTTAACGACTTTGCCAACCTTTTTAACCTACTTTTGACTTTCCCATTGATTAGTACTTTTCAGTTTTTGTCCACTTCTATTTTTCTGTTGGTGAAAAGATCTTACTACTGCTCAATCATTAGCACTCACCCCAAAGTTTCACTGTCCAAATGAATATCAGTCTAATTAGGCAGTTAGGCCTCTCAAGTGTATTTCTTCTATGCTAAGTATTCCTTTCTTTTCATTTGCAAATCTATCTTAATTTTCAGTAAGTAGCTTCTCAAAATTTGCAGAATTTTAAGATGAATTGTGTAGCTCTTTATTATTTTTGGTGTAAACAGAAAGTTTTAGTACAGGTAGAAGAACTTTTTGATGTTATAGACTATTTGTGACAAAAAGCACAGATGGGTCAGTTTAGTTTGTAATACTTTTGGAGGAGGCTACTTTGATGTAGTATACCTGTGGATAAATAGGAAAACACGTTATCATTCTCAAAAAAAAATCTGAATGTTCGCATGTAATGAATATTCTCCTTTTTAAATCTCTCAGGTGCTTGTTTGCTCAAGAGATGGCAGTGTCTACTCCTTTGATTTGGTAAAGATCTTGAACTTCTGTTATTCTTGTGCAGCATTGATTATGACATTATTCACTGACTGTAGAATTCATCCTATGCTAACGGGGCATTCTCCTTACCAATTGTGTACAATATCCGGAAGAAGTTCTTTCTCAGTCTTTAAGGTGCTTGAAGACCAAATTTTGGCTGTTCTGTCCAACTGTCAGGAAAAGTTTCTTAATCTCTATCTTTTCCTCATTTGTCTCATCTTTCTCAAAATTCACCTGCACATCAGCCGTTCTTGAGTTTTATTCTTGTTACAGGAATACATGTATTCTGCTTTTAACCTTAAGCTTCAATGTTGGGTACTTTTGGGTTGTTGAATTCATACAATAAAAGTGGCTTTTTTCATTTACCTGGTTGATATTAATTAAGATGCACTATTCCAAAATTAAATAAGGTATATGTCAGCCTAGGAAGTAAACACGTCGAACTTCCAAGTATTTATACCGCGAGAAACTCGTAGAAGACGAAACCTCCTTTTCCTTCTATGCAATCAGGCACTAAATTGAAGAGGAACATGGAAGTTCACTGCTAGAGTTAGACATTGCATATTGCCTGCTTTCTTTTAGAACTTCAAACCTTTTTTTTTGTGAGGAAGGTAACAATTGTATTCCTATTAAACACAATTTCGTTCTTAAATCATAGTTAGTTCTTTAAACCTCTTGTAGTTATTAGTTAATCTATAGTTTTTATTAAAACTTATAAAATTGACGAAGTGTATAATTTGTATTTCTGTCTGTAGTTATATAATTGTGTCATGCACGCCAAATTGCAATTTTTTTTCCGACTTTTCTTCTTTGCCTCCCTGTCCAACACGAGAATTGTGTCTGTGTCTACCCTACATAGTTATCATGCTCCAACATTAATACTCTTCCTCTTTTCAAAGTATGTTTGTTGATGATCCTAGTGGTACCTTGAAATTCTGCTAAACTAGACTTAGAAAGGATCTTGCTTGTATCAAGAAATCTCTTTATTTTGAGTTTGAACTTTCAAGATAAAGAACCTATTTTATTTTTCAAAATATAGTTATATATTTCTAATTCAGCGCTACTCCTCAAATTGGTATCAGCAATCATGTCCAACATGCTGACAAGATTCGTGAGAGTATTTGGTATTTGTTGTAACATAGGAACAAATGACATACAATACCATGCAGATTCTACCTTCTCTTTATGAAATTCTGTCAATATCAATATGCTTAGCTTTGTCATGTTGAACCAGAGTGTCTGTGATAATACTAATGACTATCTTGTTGTCTTATTACAATTTCATAGGCTAGTCATATTATGTCACAAGCACTTTCAGCCATCTATTGTATTGCTGTGAGATCTCTTGTTTTTCCATGTTACTACATTGTGCCATACAAATGTTCAGTACCCTTATGTTGAATACTTGTCAATATTGGTCCTGCCAGTCTGCGGACTGCATCTGTGTACATCAGTCATTTTTTAAAAAACAAATCCTTAACAGAGATGTTTACATATCTTTTAATAAAATATACTCTTTCGAGATTCTCTTTTTGAGGAGAATGCATGCAAATGCAATAATAGGTCGTTTGTGTGAAAAGTGAATTAGCTTACCTACAGGTTTCTGCCACCGTCTTACCTAGATGTGTTCACAGGTTCTCTATTTTTGTCTCTGTTAAATTGTGTGATCATCTCATCTAAGTAGAAGTCGTCCTTGGAGTAAAAGAAAACTGAAGGTAAACAAATCAAGGCTAAATTACTAGCCTCCTGTCTTGTTCTAGATCTTCCTGATTATGGGTTGGTGATGCATATCATTCAAGTTGTATCAGCGGATGATGATCTAAGCTATTATTAGAGATGCCAGGCTGACATTGACCTTTAGACCTGACCAAGAGAAGTAAGACCGATAGCCAATAACTTAGAAAGAAAGGTTCCCCATTTTATAGATTGAGATATTGTCTAATATTATTGGCATTTCATTGTATGAAATCTTTAATCATACAGATGAGGTTTCATGTTCTGCTAGGAAAAGGGTGATTTATTCTGGAAGCATGATGTTGGACATCCAATTACTTCATCTGCCTACGTTGATGAACACTTGCTATTGGCATGTCCTGATTCTTCCCTGTCTCAAAGGTATATTTATTGTAGATTGATCATGCAATGAATTATTTAATGGATTATAGTAAGTCAACAAGGAACTTAGTCCCTGTGTATATGTCATTACTACCAGGTTAGTGTGTGTTTGTTCCAGTTCTGGAAGTGTACATGTTCTTCAAGTCAGCTTGAATTTTGACGGAGAAAATCAACCATGTGATATGGTGCGGGAATTTGCTAGGTTTGAACTTGGAGGAGACGTCTTTTCCTCCCCTGTGATGATTGGTGGGGATATATTTGTTGGTTGCAGGGATGACTACATGCACTGTATTAGACTCCAAGAAATACCGATATGAACCTATTACATCTTATAACACATGCTCAATCTATGGGAGTATAAAACTCCTCAATATTGAAGCATCTATTATTGGCAAAGGAGTTTCCTGCGAGTTATCTGGTCATTGCACGACAGAAGAATCAAGAGCCTCCTTCTAATGCTGCAATTGCTATGATGAACTTTGAGAAAAGATTGGATGCAGTGTGGATTTTGGTGCACTGTGAGATTTTTGTCAACAGGCTAAATGTCTCTCTTTGCAAAGGAAGCTTATTTTTCCTTATATCACCAAGATTGGAACTTAGGAGAGATAACAACAACGATGTATACCCACTGTACTCTCACAAGTGGGGTTCGGAGATCATGATGTGTATACAGTCTTATTCCTACCTTGTGAAGGCGGAACTAAGGAGATACTTGATGCAATATCGGACTAAATAGTCAATCAAGTCTTTTTCAACTGATACTCTCTCTCAGCCAGCTTCAAGATGACAAAAGGAAGCTCCAGTTTAAGCCTGATGATTGCTTCTTTGCTGAGACAATTTTAATTTATACTGTTCTGGCAGCACTAAATAACAATCGAGTTCTATCCAACTTCATTTGGATAGTCGTTATATATTGTTTCATAAACGTATGGTATCATATTAGATTGTGTTGTATTGTAATGTTTTGATGAACATAATGTTTAGACAGATTGTATTGTTGATCACCATTACATAATGTAACACGAGCAATTTGTAGAGTAGGATACGATAACAAGGCAGGATAAATGATGGAATAGAATTATCATCCTTTGTTCGATAAATATTCATGCATCTAATATTTTCTTGAATAAAGAGTTTTACACGCATGGCTATAAAAATATCCTTTTTAAGGATTAATTCAATCAAATAATCATTTTCATGGAAAAATAAAAATAATTAGTTTATAAAATTTGAGTTTAAAATAGTATGTAAAATCATCGGACAAAAAAAGAAGAGGGCGAGGGAGAACAGTGTACCGACATTAGAAAAAAGTTATAACTAACGTGTAGGCATATGTAATAATTAATGGGACATAAAAATATAAACTAGTTGGGTAAAGGACAAAAATCATATATTTTAAAGATAAAATTATTATTTTTCTTTATTAATTTATAATTAAAGAAATTTTTTAAATTGATATAATAATATAAGCATTGATACACTAATATACTAATTATTTTTATCATTAGAAAAGCTATATATTAGTTATATAAATTCAAATATCACTTTTAATATAAAATATATATAAATAGAGACGTAAGAATACTTTCCATATTATCAAAGGTTTTATTCTAATATCTCCCGTTACGATGAAATTAAATTAAAATTTTCAACAAAAGTATTATGATAACTACTACACCTTCTATCTATTTTTATTTATCATGTTACGCTTTTCACAAGTTAATTTAATCAATTTTTAAAGTAAAATTAGATAAAAATAAATTTGATATTTTTTAAAAAAAAATCGATATTCAAAAACTCTACGAAAAGTTCCATAAATTACAATTTTTTGCATATCAATATGATAAAAATATCTATTGTAAAATGTTGGTCAAAGTTCTTATAGTTTTCATTGGAGAAAGATAGACATTTTAATCGGTCTTCATCTGTTCATAATGAGTTTGATTGTTAAGTCAACTGATTGTAATATTAATGTTTTCATTGGAGAAAGATGAAATTTTTAACCAATTCTTGATTTGTTTTAAAAAAGAATATCATATGCCAGAATATTCAATTGCATTGATACGTTATACAAATTTTTTACAACATTGATATACTATGTAAATTTTCTCTATAATAAAAGTTGAATAAAGTAACATTTCATACTTTACATTTTCATCATATCATTGACATGATGACAAGTAGATTTTGGAATGAAGATGTACTTTATAATGATAATAAAAAATGGTCAATATGTGAATAACATTAGAAAAATTGTGAACATGGAATTAGGGTATAGAGTGATCGATTTCACCAGCACAATTATAATATCTTTACCACATTCATATTAGAGAAGCAATTGACAATATAAATGCAAATCTTTAGTTAGTAATATTATTTAAAATTTATTTAAGATTATCTACTCTTCTATTTCAATTTATTTATCTAATTCTGATTGATACTAAATTATTAAAGATGTAAAAATATAAAGATGAAATTATATCAAACATCTAATCACCATTATTTCAGTTATTCATTTATTCTACATAAAACAATTATGTATAAAAAAAATTAGAAAAAAACTCAATAGTCGCCAACTTGCCATAAAATTGTTAGTATTATCTTTCTTTGTATTTTTTTCATTGTAAAAGTATAAGAACCGAGGAGAATAATTTCCTCTTTTATATTTAACATATAAAGATAAATTTGATCGTTTTTTATATATTTTCTTAATGATTCCGTTAGATGTGTTAGAAAATAAGGTTAAATTTTATTAATTTGTTAGCTTTGTAAGGAAAAAGTATAATCCATCCAAATTTAAACTAAACAGAGGGTAAAAGTAGATTATAATTATTTCATAAACATAAAAATAATTTTGGATCTTTTTCCATAAAAAGTTATGCCAGGTTGTCCTTCCTCAATCTTTACACGGGAAAAGCTTTGACCCAAAGCATGCAGAGTCCAATTTAACTATAACAATTTAGGGAAATTAAGCTTAGTGATAATTATTTAGATTATATTTATCATAAAAATTTATTATTTAGATATATAATACATATACGTATTAATATCGTATTATTGATATAATTTTTATGTATTTTTAATTGTTACAATTGAAATCTGTTGTTTGATATAACTGATACATCAGTCTGATATAGTTTTTCCACATGATACAACAATTGTGACTACATTTTGTAGTTATGCTCTAAATTATAGCTATGGAATTTAATCAATTATATATATGAGAAAACTATGACAAGGATGTAGTGTCTCTCTCTCTCTCTCTTTCTCTCTATATATATATATATTCTTGTTTGATGCATGATTTTTTTTTTTCAATTATTTGAATGCTTCAATAGTAATCCATTCCCACTAAAAGAAAAAGAATATCTTGATCTTTCCACCACCAAAATATATTTATAATTTATAATTTAAAAGAAGATGCCAAAACTATTTAGTGTTCCATACAAAATTGCCAGCCTAGTTAAAGAATGCCACATAACACATTATATATTATAGTTTTTTTATTTTATGGATAATATTAAGGACTGGGTTTAAGACAACCACCAAAAAGAAGCCAATAGAAAAAAAAGCTACAAATTAGGCGGCTGTAAATAGCAACACAATGAGCAGATTCTAAAACATTTGGCTGGCCCCATTTAAAGTCCAGACAATTTTACATACAATTAGAATAAAATGAATTATTATGAAAGAAATAAATACATGTACAAGATAAACCTTGAGTCACAAGTTCTTGTTTTGTAGTGGTTCATGTGCATCCGTCGAATAGTGAGTGAGTCAGAATTTTTATATACAATATTAAAGTAATTTAAAGTATAATTAGCTAATATAAAAAAAAATTAAACTTTTTTCGAAAGAGAGATATTGATTGACTTTTCTTGGACAGGGAGTGGAGGAAAAGTTTGGCCCCTACTCGTAAAATGTGAAATTATGACATCTGAGTATAACTTAATCTCAAAAGTTAGCTCATAATCAAATTATTAAAATGAGGATTGTGTAAAAAAAATATATTTATTCATAATATGTTGCTCATGTTTTAATAAAGTAAAATATTTCGATAATCATATTTTTATGTTGAATTATCTGATCGACTGTTTTCTTTATACTTAGAGTCTCAATCTAAAATCTGAGATTAATTAAAAGCGAAAAGATATCACTCATCTCACTGAATACATTTTTGTGATTTAGAGTCTTGGATGATTTGAGATGGAGTGTGTTTTACTTGTTAAAAAGTAAAGCTTCTTAGGCTAATAATTATAATTATATGTGCCTTTACATAGATAATAAAAATAGTTATATGACACATAATAGCAAAAAAAAATTATCTTGTTTTGTACATAAGTGAATCAAAAGGTGACTCGTGAACTCACACCTACCAATATATCAATTTTTTTTTTCTAAACAGAAGAAACACAAAAAAGGAATTAATTAGTTACATCCTTTATAAAATTTTGTTATCCTAAAGTTAATTTATCTTGTTGAATTTTTTTATTGTTGAAGAGATAAAACATAACAATCATTTGCATTTGTGTACTTTGATTATGCTTTAATATTTTTATTTATTAAAAAAATAATGATAGGTATCCTATTCTTTCTTTGCATTATGAATGAACCAATTAATATAGACAGAGTTGATTAAGTTGGTATAACCACTTTAGAAAGACAACATAAAATTTCCTGGCACATATCTTTTCACTTAATTAATTATTACTATTACTTTAAACAATTTAATTAAAGAGTAGGAAAAAGGTTCCTTCTAAAATAAGTAAATGAGATAACAGTTTTTTTTTTTTTATATAATTTGTGAGGGCTGCATAGATTTTTGTTTAATTTATTTTGCACTTACAAAAAGCTTTCTCCTTTCTTTTATTCTACGCCTCTTCCATCCCCACAAATAAAAATATCATAATTAATTTTTAGTGTAACTTAACACTGAAAAAGGAAAATATATTTAAGAAATATAATGTTCTATTATGTCGTCTATTGTTATATTGGTTTTTACGAAAAGGTAATATATTTATAAATATCGCATTTTCATATTCATCTGAAATTAATATTTTTATATAATACGTAATAATTTAAAAGAAAAATTCACATCGTTTTCGGGTGTCAATGTGGTCCTATTTATTAGCTCAATTCAAAGATGAAAACCCAGTTTTTAGACGCTTCTTTAATTTGGATTTCACTTTCTAATTTTATCAACTTTTTTTTTTTTCAATTCTGACCTTATTATAATAAACTCATTTTTATTTTTCAATTCTGACCTTTATTTCTTTGTCCTAAAAAAATAACAACTGTCACTGAAAAGATTGAATTTTTCTTCTTTTTTTTTCTTATTCCCCAATCAAGTGGTTTGTTTTAAAAAAAATATCTTAATAACGACCAAAATTCCAACAATTTCTAGCTAATATTTTCAATATAATTAAAAATAAAAACCATTTTTTTTGGCTTATGAAATTCAGTGACAAGTTGCATGTAAGTTATTGTTGGACACGTGGACAGACTGTTCTCTTACGTATGATAAACTTATAAAGTCAGAGTTATTTATATCAATTTTTAAATATATTTAAGACCGTTTTTTTGGTTTAATTAAGAAAATATCAGTTCAACCAATATTGACTTAACTAATTCCATTAATATTAGGCTCTTTAGACCTAATCCACATGTTAAGTCGAGGGGCAATAACGTCAGCTTAGATACTGAGTCTAAATTAATTCAATAATTTTTGTTTAAACTCTAATTGAAAAAATAGTAATTCTTAAATTTAACGTAAATTATTAGTTTTATTTATATTTTTTATTGACAGTCTTAAAAATATTTATTTACTTGACTAATTCAACTTAAATATATTCCTGATCTGTCACATGACATAGCTAGTGGTCTTGAAATATTACAGGATAGTGGGAATCTTAATAAAAAAATCGAGAAAAGTGTTACAAACACATGGATCTGTCATAGCACGTAACAAGATCATGTTGTATTTTATTCAGTTAGTCTACTAAAGGAAATATTCTTAAGACTATCAATAATTCAAAACAAAACTAATAATTCGTGTCTAATTTAGAAATTCTTTCGATCCTTCTCTGCAAATAGAACGATGAAATGAGTTAAATAATTATTGCTATCATTGAGTTAAAAGAAAAATAAATAAAAAAATAAAAGGAAGAAAGAAAGAATAAGCTTGGAAATGATTACAACTTTAATGTAAAAAAATCATAACACAAATAGACTAACGTTAGTTGTACATTTGTTTTTATTTCAAATATAAGTATGATTCTTATCTTGTTAATAACCTATGAATTTGTTGAGAATGTAAAATCAACATTTCAAATTGATATATCATAGTGACGTCTGACGTGTCATACACTACACTTGTAAAGGCATTATGAACTTATCAAAATTAATTTTTTTAGCCTTTTTTATTATTATGAAATTAATTTATTAAAAATAATGCAGTTTGATATATCTTGCCGGAAAAGCAACTAACAACTATAAATCGGAAATGCATTAAATAATGTTATCCAAATATAGAATAAGTTTAATCATAGACTACAAAAACAATAAGCAAATGTAATTCCACAAATAAAATATATAAAAAAAAATGATATATCGAGAATTTAATTTTATAAGGTAGAAAATTATTTATTATAGATATTTAAAATAACGATAGTAATGTGGCAAGATACCCTCGACCAATTAAATAATATGAATAAAAGAACTATCTATTCAAGTAAATCGTAATGCTATTTTAATAAAAAGAAAAAGTGACTAGCTTACTTACGATCTCTAGTATTACAACACTCGAATATTTATTAATTAGTACTTTTTTATTATAATCTTCATTCTTTAAATATTTCTATCTAGGATCATATATATTTTTAATCAGTTCGGAATATTTTATGTCCAACCAAACCACCTCCTATCTCCATTTTTTTAAACCATAAACTCAAATAAAAAACAAAATCTATTTAAATGCTTGTATATTTCCAAAAATACCCCTACAAACCTTGTTCATAACGTAACCAACCAACACAAATATAAAAACAATTTATCCAAAACACCCCCTTCTCTCAAAGCACATATAAAAACACATAGTGTGGCCTCAGAAAAAAACAGAAACAAAAAAAAAATGGATTTCATCAGAATGAAAATATGTCTTTCTGTCTTATTTTTTTTCCATGTTTGGTTTTGTAGAGCTTTTAATGATGTCTCAACAATTCCTTTTAACAAAGGATTCAGCCATCTCTTTGGTGATGGAAATATTCTTCATGCTAACGATGATAACAGCCTTCAACTTCATCTCAACCAAAACACAGGTAAACATACATATATAATCAATTTCAAATTTCACTCCGTTTTGTGTTTGATACGACAGAAGTCATCAAAAATATTTGTTATACCCATAATATGTCTAAATTTTTTTTTTCTAATTATTATTTGAAATTTATATTACAGGTTCAGGGTTCAAGTCTTCTGACCTTTACAACCATGGTTTCTTCAGTGCTAAAATTAAATTGCCATCAGATTATACTGCAGGAATAGTTGTTGCCTTCTATGTATGTATACTTTAATATTTTTTTTTCAAATACTACAATTTTATCGTAGTTTCAATCAGAGTCAAGAATTCAAATCTATTTTCATAATATAATATTTCAACGAAGGGATTTTCTTTGCATCCCTCCATCTTCACCCACGGCTTTAATACGGGAGTCATCCTTTATCAGATATTATTTCTTTGTTGAAAAACTATATTGTATAAACAAATAATTTATTTTATGTACACCTCAATCTCTTTGGTGTATTTTATTTATAATTTATTTTTTTTTAATAAAAACTCTGACTTTGTTTATTTGGATGCAGACGACGAATCAAGATGTATTTAAGAAGACACACGATGAACTAGATTTTGAATTTTTGGGAAATATAAAAGGAAAAGCATGGAGATTTCAAACAAATATGTATGGAAATGGAAGCACACATAGAGGAAGAGAAGAAAGATATACTCTATGGTTTGATCCTTCTAAAGAGTTCCATCGTTATAGTATTTTGTGGACCAACAAAAACATCATGTGAGTTTCACTTGCTTTAATTTATTTTAAGTAACTTCTTTCTTTAAATTTAAGTAAAGTAAAGCATACTTTTAATAACGCGGATTCGTTGAATATAAATTTTCTCATTTTTGCGGCTTCTTTTTCTACTATTTTGACCTTTTCGAAAACACCGTTGTTACTCTTCTACTACAACTTTCGAGTATCACATGTTAGAATAATATAACTGTATCGTTTGTCTGATTTTAATTTAATAAAAAAATGAATAAAAAAAAGTATAATCTTAGATAAAGTCAAATTTTATTTAAAAATTTAATCTAAAATTCATGACGTTTTGTTGGTGAATATTTTACGCAAAATGCTTATTTAAAATGTATGGTGTGACCTTTTTTTTTTTCATTTTACGTGATGATGAAATAGTGTTTGACTGGTTCAATGAATCTATATGTTAATCATATTTTGTATCTAATTTATTCAAAGGACGACGACGTATAACTGAATTGGAAAAGTCTAAATGTTCCGTGATCAAATTGTAGATAACTATCCTAATTAATCTGCATTAAAGTAAATCATTGACAAAATGACAATTATGTCTTAATTCATGACTTGACAATTTAATTTTTTATTCTTTTTTTCCTTTCTGGATGTGAACATGAGTTTTCTTAATTACATATAGATTATGTAGTTACAATATTTTTTTAGAAAAATAAATTTGAGAGTGGGAAAATATATCAAAACATCTGATTAGGATTTACCGAAAATAACTAATTTATTTTTTGATTAGATAAGATTGAATTCTATGTAATCATTACTCTTTCCATACCCCACTTGAATTATTTTTCATTAGAAAAAAGGTACATATATATGATATCAACAAATCCACATTAAAGTAATTAATTAAACGATAATATCGTTTACAATATTGAACTTTATTATTGACAATTTAATTTGGTTGTTTTTTTGGATGTGAACGTCAAGAGTTTCTTTAATCACATAAATATCATATGGCTATAATATTTCTTTAGAAGATAAATAAATTCGAAAAGAAAAAAAATACAAAACAAATGATATGAGATTGAGATCAGTATAAATAATCGAATAAGCATTACCCTCTTCGGATTATACTAAGATTGGATATATTATAGTTGTTTGTTAACCTATATTAAAGATCCTCTTTTAATTCCAACCAATATGCTGCTATAGTTTAACCACTTTGTAATAGATTGAATTAACTAATATAAATTATTTCTCACAATATAGTGTAACCACTTTGTATTACATTGAATTGATTTAACATTATCAATTATTAATTTCTTAATTAGAAAAAAGGTACATACAACCTAATCCACATTAAACTAATTAAATGATAGATATCTCTATCAACATTTGAACCTCTCAATTATTGACAATTTTTTTATTAATTATAATTTCAATTTTGACAACAGATTTTATATAGATGATGTTCCAATTAGAGAAATTGTAAGAAATGATGCAATGGGTGGAGACTACCCATCAAAGCCAATGGGCCTATATGCAACAATTTGGGATGCTTCAGATTGGGCTACTTCAGGTGGAAAATACAAAACAAATTACAAATATGCACCATTTATAGCTGAATTTACTGATTTAGTACTCAATGGATGTGCAATGGACCCATTGGAACAAGTTGTAAACCCTAGTCTTTGTGATGAAAAAGATGTTGAACTCCAAAAGTCGGATTTTTCAAGGATTACATCGAGACAAAGAATGTCCATGAAAAGATTTAGGGCGAAATATATGTACTATTCTTACTGTTACGATTCATTGAGATACTCAGTGCCACCACCAGAGTGCGAGATTGATCCAGTTGAGCAACAACATTTTAAAGAGACTGGAAGGTTGAAGTTTATAAACAAGCACCACGGACATCGTCATCCTAAGAAAACAAAAAGTGAAGTTCTTGATGCTAGGAAGTATGGAAATGAAGATGAAGAGTGATTCAAAGTTTTGTTTACTAATAGTAATATTGTTGGTGTGTATATAGATAAAAGGAGGGAAAGAGTGAATTCGTTTATTTTTCTTGGATTATAGATTTTGTTATAGGATATATTGTCAGAGTGAAGGGTGAAAAATGATTATATATAAAGTGTGAACACTGATTGAGTAGTTATATTGTAATATAAATAAAGAGATTGAATTATGTATATTGAATTACTATTAAAGACTCCATACATTTCTTATTCTTCAAATTAAATAATCATATTTCATATAATATCATGATCCGATGAACTTCCCGATCTATGTGCAGTTGTGGAGGTGTCACGACACCCCGTGATCTCTGTTGAAATTCCGTTTATGTATGTATATATGTATCGAATATCTATAAATATTAAACTTGCCACCCAGAGAACAAACTGAAGCATGGTTCCATCGGTGGCAGGCTGAGTTTTTCGTCCCAAATATTAACATAATCTGAAACAATTTTATTGACTTTTTTTAAAACTTTTTGTTTTAAGCATAAAATATCATTCTCTCCAATTTAATTTATGTGATACATTTTCTTTTGTAAATTATTCCAAAAGAACATTACTTTTCTACTATAAAAAATAACTTTAACTTGTAATTTTTCTTTTAACCTAAATGGAATAATTTGTAATATTACTTTTCGATTCATTTGTCTTTATAAACTCAAAAATGAATAATCGACAACAGTCCCAATTTGCTATTTAGAAGGACAAACGAAATTAAATATTTGATCATGTAATGAACATGTCAATTTAAAAGCCATATGACATTCATAACCTTTAAATCCTGAATCCGCATCTGCTTGTTCATAAACTAGCTTCAAGGTTGTTTGTTCACTCCTTACATGGTCCCAAAATTAGGCCCTTGTTGATTTTCAAACTTACCTTAGAGTTAGGCAAGTTTTGTCATAGAGAAAAAAATAATATTATTTCTCGTACTCCCTCCGTCTATTTTTACTTTTCTATTATACTATTTTGAAATGTTTAATAATATTTGTTCAATTAATAAAATTAATGAATAATTTATCATGTTAAATCTATTTTATCTTTACTATTAAATATTGTTCATTTTTTAAAATTTAGATAATTTATATTTAACAACAATAATTTGATAAAATTATCCCAATCATTTGCTGCTTAGCTTGTAAAGCAACATAAAGTGATGATTGATTAAAAAAAGACTAGATAAAGAGAATTTTTTTCAAGTATCATGTACAATATGTTTCATATATTTATTTATTTACTGTTCAGCAAAAAAAAATATTTATATACTTACTACTATCAATAAATTAAAGAAAATGGTTACACTTTGCCTTAAACGTAATCATACAATAAAAATAACTTTTAGTAGCAATAAATATAAATATTAATAAAAAATGTTAAAGTTTTTTTATCAGTATTAATTAAGTTCCATTAGAATCGATGTTGTTAAAGACTTTAGTAACATATATAAAGTATTAATTGCTAACAACGATAATTTTTTATGTAATGAATATTGATCATTGAGATTATGGAAAGATGATGGAGGAGGTGATGGAGTTACAACCATAATGGTGTAGTAGGGGGTATCTACTTAAAGGGAAAAGAGGGGTGAAAACTTACTCGCACCGGATGTTTATATCAATTCAATATATGCACGTCAATTTATAGTTTATTTTACTCAATTTTAATTAATTAATATATGTTTTACTTCATTAAATCACATATAATGAATTTTGATGTAAACACCGGGTACAAATAATTTTTTTTCCAGAATAAAGTGGTTAACATCCACAATAACAAATATTTACTTCACTTTTTAAAATTTCCAATAATTAATAATCTGTTTCGTTATAATTTTTACTAAAATTTTAATTAGAAAAGATTTTATACATGTATTGTAATATATACCTTATCTTCCGCTTTGTTAAAAACCTTTGGTAGAAAAAATTAGTAGAGTGAATCTTAGCTAATGAAAAAGGTTATAACATGTATTTTACTTCTCTTATTGAAAATATCATTTTATTTATCAAAACCAAATTTCTATCTAGTATATCAACTTTTCAAAAAATTTGAGGATCTAATATTTAAGTGAACATATCCATCAAATTATCAGTTGAACAAAATTTAATGAGCCTTTGTTCCAATTTTTTCCTTTTGATTACGAGAGAAATTTACAGTCGTTATATCTTAGATGTACACAAGATAAAACAGGAAAAGTAACTTGTATTTGATAAGCCCGATGCTACGAGTTTTATCTAAAAAGCAAATTCTTTACTTTCGATAACATAAAATTATAAATTTGAGATATTTAACATACAAGTTCAAAATCCAAACGACTGGGTCACTTTAAATGGTCTTTCTTTTCAAAATCACGATAGATTTTTTTTTTATAATTAAAATAATTTATTTCAAGAGAAAAAACACACCTCATAAATATATTAAGCCAACCACAATATTCTCGATTTGCTTAATGAATGACTATTACTTTTACATAATTTGAATAAATAGTAACTATAATTTATATGTGGAGTGATATAATATATATAGTTATAATTCCACATGAAATAAATTGCACGTGAGCTAGATCTTATGTAAACCGGACAAACATTGTGTTATTGCATGACAAATTAATTGTTATTTTGATTTATTTCAATAAAATAGAGATAATTATACTTTTGGATTGCTCAAAGATATAATAATCATTTAAATATAAATACATATAAAAACATATACATATTATATAACATAAATATACAGAATTAATATATATATATATATTACGTATATTTTGACTATTTTTTGTGATAATTCGATCGAGGAATCACAAATAATAAAACACCAATAAAATAACTCCATACTAATAGTTCCTCGAAGTTATTTAAAGATATATTTAATATCATTTTAATGTTTTCGTGTAGAAGAAAAATAAAGTGTCAATATGCTCGTACAAAGATCTTGTCTTTTCGTGTAATACACAAGAATTCATTGGTATTCCAATTTCACTAAGATATATAAATAATGTTTTAATATCAATAAATTCATTATTTATATGAAGTCAAATCGAACGATTTTTTATTTATATCAAATGATTTTACAATCATTAAAATACTAATTAAATGAGTTTTATCCGTAAAATTATTTAAGGATCTTTTAAAGAATGACAAAAGTTCACATTGATGGTTAATAAGACCAGTGGTCTGAGTAATCCTCCTCCCTTTGAACTAGCGTTTGGGGTGTGAGTTAGGCCTAAAATCTAATTTAACAAGTATATATAATTGATCAACATAAAATTTATATTTAAATGCTTAATTTGTGTGCGAAGACTATTTTATATATCAATTTTATTTTCTTTATACATTCTATTGTTACCGAAAGTTTTTCATTAGTTCAAATTATATTAAAGTCATCAACAGACAATTTATTATGATAAATTTTAAATTCAGTAATTCGATTTTCTTATAAAATTATTAAAATAAATAAAATTATTTTGTATCCTTTCTAGTGTTAATAAGACATTTAGAATTTCAATTCGAAAAAATTCAAAATTGTTTTTTTTGAAAATATAAACACAATCTCCCAACTTTGACAAGTCTATCATATATGGTAAAAATTGTTGGAAATAGTTAAAAGCAGAAATTTGATATGTGATTGTAAATAATATAAATAATTAAAATATAACCCAATTTAAAATTACATAAATTTGAAGGGTTATTATCAAAAGTTCATTTTTAGTAGTCTTTCATAACATTTTTTTTTTCCAATTTTCTTTTGAGTTGACATAATAAAGTTGACATGTAACTAATTTATTTAACCTTGTTTGATTACTAGTATTAAAATTCTAATTTTCTACAAATAATTTATGATATATATAATTTTATTAGATGTCCTATATATTTTATCTTCTCTTCACTTTCTTAAGAAGTTTCTCTTTATCTACATCTCCTTTGAGAATATTTTCTTTGTGCAGAATTATTTTCTTATTTTTACGTGTTTAAAATTATTTTTTAATTAATTTACATAGATTTAATGAATCGGTCATTAAATTAATGAAGAGAAGAAAAAAGAATAAATGAACATTGTGAACACAATAATTAATTAAGAAGTATCACCTAATTAAATTGACAAAGAGAAGAAAAAAGAATACTAGAAAATTTTGGGCTCGTTTGGCCATAAATTTTGCAAGTAAAACTTGGGAAAAAACTTGGCAATTTTTTTTTGTTCATACACTTTTTTATTATTTGGTAAATTTTTTTGGCAAATTTTCCAAATTCCCAAATACTAGAAAAAACTATTATTTTGGGCCAAATTTCATTATTTGAAAAGTTTTAGAAATTCAATTTTTACCCTTTAACTTTTTATTTTACAAAAATTATATATTTATTGACACCAACCAATTTTATTAGCTCCCTTCTACATGCATTCTTTTGATTTCATACATTCCTTTGTTACAGTTAGTCTTAATGAACTAGCTACTAAATAAAACATGAATTGAATTTATTTTATTTTGGTAGATAAATATTACGTTGTTGATGTTGGTCTACGGAACACAAGAGAATTTTTAGCTTCATTTTCATTCATTGGAATGCGCTATCATTTGCAGGACTACCGAGGAAGTGAAATAGAGCCTATGAATGGAAAAGAGCTATTTAACTATAAACATGCTTCTCTGCGCAATGTAATTGAAAGAACTTTTGGTGCGTGAAAAAGTAGATTCAGAATACTAAGACAAGGCATGAACAACTATGAATGTGACATGCAAGTGAAAATAGTAATTTGCGCTGTATTGCATAATTTTTTACGTGAACACCAAAGTAATGATGAAATATTCAATGAATATGAAAATGATGATATGATTGTTGATGAAAGTGACGAACTACTGGCTCAGGGTAACAACATCGCTTCATCTTCTCGATCGTTTGATTCGAAAATACAAGCTCATCGAAAAAAATTGTTCATAAAATGTGGAAAGATTATATTAAAGAATAAGTTGAACTCTTTCAGATGAGAAAGTATAGGTTCTTTAGTGATAAATGAAATCTGACTCAAATATGATAATTATTTAATATTTTATAAAAAAATTTGAAGGTGATGTCGAGGTGAATTTTTTTCCAAAGAAGTTAAACATAGCAGTTGACTTAAACAAAGATCTTTTACATTTCATTTTTTTTTTGTTTATTTTTACCAAACAACGCCTTAACAGAAGTATAGACTAAAACGTTACGA